ACAGAACTGGAGTGCCTTATCGATTTGAGTGGGTTCCCAAGCCGTTTTCTTATGGGACCTTACTCTTAGATACCATTGAAAGAATAAAGGGTCAAAAGAAGGAAAAGCTCTGAACCGTTGAGAAGGGATGGTCCACATAAACTCAATGATGTGCCGTTTTTGAAATGGAAGTTTCTCCTCCTTGTAACAAGGAAAGCAACCCTGGAGAGACAAGCAACCCGAGGCTCAATGAAACATGGACCCAAGATTACCTGGTTAGGGTCGGAGCAAGAAGTATTAAGCAATAACAAGAGGTAATTATCGTTGTCTTCATCCTCTTGGAGCTGGTCAAAGCGAGATAGATACGTGGAGGGATTCATTCTTAGGCGACATGGCGGCTTCAATGAGTCGAGGAAAAATCTAAATTCAGAGAACGTGTAGTCTTGAGAGGATTGCGAGGAAGAAAAGAACAAAAATGCGATCTTGGACTCGATGTAAAAAGGTGGAGAAAATCCCGAGTAGCAGTTCAACACGCTAGCAGGAAATCGTGGTGACAAGCAGATCCCATCGATCGTGCTACGTGTCTAGCTGGGACGGAGGAAGATAAAGCGATTGTCAAGGTAATAGAGTAGTTCAACCGGCGCTCCGCACAAATTTCGTTAGGTTAATCCCCGATATTACAGTATTTTTATAGGGGGCATACCTTGACACCCAAAAATAACTCAAGCTCCGAAGGATTGATAAAGGTCTATAATGGGTTGTCAAGAGAGCGGCTATGAAACATAACTACAAATTAGCGACTCATACGAGTGGCCGTTATCGATGAGAGGGAATTGGTAAGGACCATAGATCGACATACGATAAAAGGATAATATCTTATTACATGATCGATGACAGATGCAGAAATAAAGATAGAGCCAAATTGTAATTTCTTGCAGATATGAATGTGCAATTATAAGCAAATTGAGTCAAGGCCTAGAATCTCGGGAGTAGTTAGAGTTTGTAATTCGAATGATTACGGAGCTCGATGGTTATACTTTGTACAAGGCTATATAAGGCCAAGAAGAGTCAATTGTAGAGGATCCGTAATCAATTAGACTTATCTAATTTTTCTACAATTTATTTTATTTTTGTTATCAACATTCCTTATTTGTTATTATCCGTAGTTCCTGTCTGAATTGCCACAGAACCCAAATCTCTTCTAAAGATCTAAAGATCTAACATTTAGTGAAAGATCTTTTGTCAACGACCATTCTTGGGGAAACTCATCTCGAACTTTTGGAAATTTTCAGGATCACATAGAACTAGATTTAGTGTGACTTTTGTTGCTGTGGGATGCCAACTTGGTCAAAATCGAACCCCTATAATAAAATGGAAATTCCAAATTGGCTTTGAATTGAATTCGACCTCAAATGCCATTTGTTCCCTATAAATCAAGAGTGGTGCTGAGTGACTTTCGCAATGTATTCCTTAAATCCCAATTTTTCATAGCTAGTTTGGGATCCTTATAGTAGAGTCGTGTGGTGTAGTCGCGCTATTTCCTCATCCTTGCCCTTCTTTGCTAGCAAAAAAATGGTGGATGGTCCTAAGGCCATCGAAATTAGCAAGTCCATCCTTCAAAACATCGGCATATGCCTAATAATCTTCATTACATACAAATTTAACTAAGTATCTCAATCAAGCACAAATGCTAAGATTTTGTGCGGGAGTGGGGAATTATTGTGGAATAAAAATTGCTAAAGTAAAAAAGAACAAGGTTGCATGTGCTGAGATTTTGTTCTTGTCTTTTTATTAAATCATGAAAAAAATCACTTTGGATATTCAGACAGATAGGACCCCACGCCACAGTTAATGTAACATTGTCAATTCACTTGATAGACAAAACTGTAGCGAGTTGTTTTCTATCATGTCTAATATCATATTAGATGACGCATGTCTTATCCATGCTGACGTGGTCCTCCTTGTCCCAGCCATTTTGGGGGGCGGGCAGTGACTAATTTGATTTTCTCTGTGGGCCCCGGTCTGGACCATATCAAATCGCTTCTTTTTTTTAATAAGATTAATACCATAAAAAATATCTTAAATTTGTACACATATGATAAATTTACTTCAAATTAAAATATCAAATTATTATGCCTGTGATAATTTTATCCTCTATTAGTTTATGTTAAATTTTACCGTCAAAATTCTGAGTTTGATGACACATGATAGATGATAAATATATCAGTTTTGAGTTTTACCATTTGTTTGTCACATGCATATCAGTTTGTAATTTTTCGTGATATTAATTCAATTCAACGGAAGGTGAATTTGTCACCAATATACCGGTTTGAGATTTTTTCTGATCAAAAAATTAGTTTAAAGTAAATTTGTCATAGGCGTACCAATTTGGGATTTTTTATGGTTAAAAATTTAATTTTGGGTATATCAATTTGGAGTTTTTCGTGATATTAACCCTTCTTAATATAACAAGTTTATCTTCCGATAATGTGGGATCACAGAAATCGTATTAGATTTCAATTGGTAAAGCCTTAGACGCAATCGCTCATCACTCATGACGTGGCACTCAGGGACAGAATGGAATCATTGTCTATCTCTATCATTGTATCGAAACTGAGCTGCCCCACGGGCCAACATTATTCACTTATCCATACATATACATATGAAAGAGAAACTTTTTTTGTAACGTCAAAAGCTCCGAAGTATGCCAACTCTAACACATTTACCTTAAAGATTTTCTTGTGACATAAAAAAATTCAACTTATATCTATGTGATACATTTACCATCCGTCAACAATTTGTCAAATGATTTTTCAGTCAAAATATATCGTCTTTATTTTACTTAAGCCACTTGGACGCCATGTGAACACCGTTTGCTCAGCGTCTGCTTTTCGGCGTCCATACATGTAGATTTTTAACATTATTTATTGAGGGAATTTTGACGGAGGGTAAATGTTTCACACAGATACAAGTTTGGAATTTTTTATGTCACGGAAAAAAAAAGTTTAGGACAAAATGTGTCATAACGGCACAGTTTTGAAATTTTGGTAGTTTTTTCCCTTATTAATTTATTGAAATGCTAACCAAAGTACATCTCCTATTATATTTTGCTCGATGTAATCTCTGCAACATTGAAAAAATAATTCCTTGTGTAAATATTGAGGTAATTTTCTTTTGACTATTGAGGATCTGGAATATCCTTTTACTTGAAAATTCCTGTTGTTTATCACATGAAATTTAACTTAAAAATTCAACTAATTTCGATTTGATTTATTTCGATTTCGTATCCTATTTGGATATGAAAGGCTAGGTCACCCTGGTTTAGTGCGAATTCAGCTCATTGCATGGGGTTGGACGGGCACTTCGGATTGGTTGGGAGAACTTCAAGCACTCACGTCACTTTTGCACACAAAGATCAAAACCTTCGTTAATTTCGGACGGGTACTTTGGATTAGTTGGGAAACTTCAAAAACCCACGTCACTGTTGCTCACAAAGATCAAAACCCTCCTTAATTTTCGAAACCTACAAAAACTATTCTGACTTTTGGGATTTCTTTTCAAGTTGCATCTCCTATTTGGTAATATGTCATTTTCCTTCCAAATTTACACCATACCACCCTTCCAAACCCATCCGCCACAAAACATCACCAAACCAAAACCCTAAGCAAATCCAAGCCAACCCCTCCTCCCGGACTGCCCACGACCATTGGAATGTGTCACCGCACGACACCCCAAGCCGAGCCACACCTCATCGCCGACACCCAGCCCCCAGTCGAGCTCATCTCTCCCTTCATCCCCACCGTTTTGTGTCACGGCCCCCCTATCTTCCCCTACTCTTCTCTCTCAAACGTGAGGACACGGGAGCGACCACAAACTAGATAATTCATAGTATGAGTGTCGTGACATGAAGAGATTAATTATGTAGGCGGTCCCGGACACGCAACCTTGTTTAATGGAAAGAAAATGGACAGGCGGGTCACATTCAACTCAAGGCAGCCAAAATTGGAAAGGAAAAGGAGCGAAACCGCTTACTGGAGACTGGAGAATTCAGGTCAACATAAAGAACAACTTTCAAAGTTCTCGGTCGCCATTTGAATCATGTCCTATTCAGAAAAAGGAACCCCAATAATTTTGGAAAACACTAAAGTTCTGTTTCAGCTTCAGAGCACCCAAATCGCTACAAAACAAATAGTTGCACCTCAAAGCTGCAAAATCTTAGCTCAGCCTGGTTTTACATCAACCTGTCCTCGAATACAGAGAAGCTCTTCCAGAATAGATGGATATAATTATATTATCTATAATGTGATCCCACATTTAGTTTATTATTGTCCACATTAATTAATTTCGTCGACGTTTATTGAGCGCATTCAAATACGTGACAACTATAATCGCCTAATATTAATATAACTATCTTGATGGGAGAAGTTATCTATAAGGATATGAATTGGGATATAAATAGGTCATCTAAGCCAAACCCTTTCATAATTTTAAGATCGATCTCTCATTTATTGATATGAGATATCGGAAAACACACCGTGGACGTTGAGAGGGCAATTGGCTAGAAGTACCTATCGACGATTGTCAAAACTCCGCGTATCAGGTTCTCGATTTCATCATTGGCGGAAGGTTAGTACAGATTTTTTCACGTTTCCGCAACCAATTCTGATTATGCATGATTTTGTTTATCCATGAATAATTAGAATCTTCAGTCTTCCGCTATAGTTAAATTTCTAACATAGATTACTACGAAACGAATTCAGAAACTGTATATTGGTAATTATCATTAGAAACCTAAGATTTATTGCAACAGTTTTTTGAAATGAAAGAACTTTAGTATCCCAGAAATCTGTGTTTGTATGAATACTACTGCTTAAATTGAGTGCAAGTACTCAGAGAAGTACTTTAGAAAGATATAGGTATGACGAGCCATTTGTTTCGCTAATATTGATCGAAGTTATTATACAAAGTACAATATTTCCGAGTCACATTAAGCCCCTGCTGTGAAAATGCAGTCTTGAAGATTGCCAAATGCAATTTATTGAAGCAAAATATGCATAAACCCTGCAAAGTAGATGCCACGCGATCTCTTTCCTCAAGTGAAAACTTTCACCAACGAAGAATCAAGAAACAAAAAAAATTCTTACCATGAAATTTCGGAAACCCTAAATATGCACTCGCCTACCCGCATTTACCCTACTTGTCGCTCTGCCACATCAGTAGTTCCTCCAACAACTTATTGTCCAGATACTCGAACTCGATCACATCTCTGGACGGCTCGGCGAGAGCTGACACAGCGGATGATGACGAACATGCTGAAGAGAACGACGGCGACAACAGCGACGGGGACACCGAGAAAGAATTGTGGTGGCCACAGACATTGCGGTCAATTTGAACAGAGTATTGTTGCTCGTTGGGGAAGTTGAGGATGGCCAGATGGCCTCGGAAGGCAAAGGCAGCCCGGTCGTAGGCATGGGCGGCCTCCTCTGCCGTCTCAAAGGTCCCGAGCCAAAGGCGAGCGCCGTTCCTCGAGGGGTCCCGGATCTCGGCCGCAAACTTGCCCCATGGGCGCTGCCGGATCCCTCGGTACCGGGGTGCATCACATCGCAACCGCGATCCCCTCTTCTTCCCCGTCTCTTCGTCATTCTCCTTGTTCCGATTCCCTCTTGAAGAACATCCTTCCATGGCAAAGTGAGTTAATATCAAATGGGGAAGTGAAGAGTAAGATAATTCGTGCGGCAGCTTTTTCGGTGAACTTTAAGAAGATAGACTTCAAATTTGGTGGCAACAAGCAAATGATGGAGGTTGGCGGGTACTTATAGGGTTAGGTCTGATAAGTTGGGGGGGGGGGCCGGGGCTGGTCGTATCTGACGGTGGGGAACGTGGTTTTTTTATGCCCTCTTGTGAGAAAGTTCGGAGAGGGAGACAAAGAATTTTCTCCAAGAATTTGAACATCTTATTGAGTATCATGATTCCAGGTCAACAAAAAACAAGTCCATTTTTTATGCGCCATGTGTCCCTCGCGGGCCCACCTGCCAGAAAAAACTCTCTATCTTCTGCATTTGCTTTTCTCCGCGTCTCTCTCTTCTGCACTTGCTTTTCTTCTCTCTTCTTGCGGCCACCATGGCTCTAGAGCTTGAGCTTGAGCCCAACATCTCGGCCTCCATGGCTAGCTCGAGCTCGCGGTTGCGAGCATGCTCGAGCTTCAAGCTCGCAGCCATGGCTGGCCATGGTCGCTCAAGTTTCGAATCCCGTCCATAGACGCTGGATCCAGAAACTTATGGCCAAGGATGCTCAATCTAGAGTCTAGCCATCACCATAGCCACAGAGCTCGGATTCAAGCCTAGAGTGCGAGCTCAAGCAAAACCTTTCGACCATGGCTGCCATATGTTCAGCTGGCAGCCATGGCGGCCTGAGTTGCGACATCTCGTGGCCATGGATACTCAAGCTCAACCTCGCAGAAGCCTTGTAGATGGAGCTTCGAGCTTGCGGCTATGGTAGTTAGACCCAGAGTCTTGTGGCCACCGACACTTGATTTGAAAACTTGCAGCGGGCCATGGACGCGGAGTTCAAACTTGAGCTAACAGCACCGAGAAGAAACTGCAATGAAGAGAGAGAAGAGAGGAGAGAAAGCAAGTGCAGAAGAGAAAGAGAGTTTTTTTGGCAGGTGGGCCCGCGATAAACACGTGGCACGCAAAGAATGGACTTATTTTACCCAATATTTTCTCATGCCTTTTGGAATTCTAATTAGACGACGACCTTTTTTTCAACTTGTCTATTATTGTTATGCCTCTCGTATATTTATGAATTGTGTTGTGGGCCAGGTGGGGCAAAAACTGAGATAAGTGTGCATGAATGTGCATGACTCGCACGATGAGGTTAGCAAAGTTAGAAGCAGATTATAGCATGGATCTGATTTTTTTTTTTCCTTTGATGGTAAATGTGCATCTACACTATTGAATTAGGCATACTTTTTACATACATTTGGTGGACTCTATATGAGGCTCGTTAGCACAATAGGCCTTAATTTGCCATCTGTCATCCTTCTTATATTGTGCCTCAATTTGTGCCGATATACTAAGGATGTCAACACTTTACCCACTTAGGGCCTGTTTGGTTCAACTTTGAAAATGCTACTTGGGGGAATGCAAATACCTTTGGGTGAAAGCCCATTGGGAAAATGCAAATGGTGTTTGGTAAAAATATTTTGTAAAACTACTTTGGCCAAAATATTGTGTTTGGTGAATTTTTTTTTGCAAATGAACTTTGAGAATTGTTTTATTTATTAAAAAAAAAAACAAAACCTACCATCGCCGGAGCTGGCCGCCGGCGAGGGCCTACGGCCGCCGGCGGCCGTCGTCGGGGGTCGGGCGACCCCCGGCCAGCCAGATCTGCCCCCGCCGGCGGTCGCCCGAGGCCAGGCGACCCTCGGCGGGGGTCGCGCGACCCAGGCGACGGCAGCCGCTGGGTCGCGCGACCTCAGGCAGCGCCGCCTGGGTCGCGCGACCTCAGGCGGCGCCGCCTGAGGTCACGCGATCGCCCAGGCGACGCCGTCCCCAGGCGACCTCGCCGGCCCTTTTCCCTCGCCGGCCACCCTCACCGGTCGCCCTCGCCGGCTGCCTGTGAAGAACAGCTTCAACCCAAAAAAAAAAAAAAAAAAAGGTGAACAGTAGCATTCGTGGAATGCTAGCATTTGGCCAATGCTAGGCCAAATGCTGAACCAAACACTCCGGCATTTTGAGAAGGGGCTTTGGAGGCTCAAAGCCCCAAAGCTGAACCAAACACCCCCTTAGTAGTGATTTTAAGAAAGTCACTATTTTGTGTTTTTATCGTATATCACAAATTATATATGATCCCTTTTAACGGTCATGCAGTGGGTAGAATCAGTCCATGTACAAAATAATGATATTTGTATAAATAGGTGGTTATTTCGTATGAAAATGCGTATGTAAGTTGATCCCAAACTTGTATGGGCGCAAAAACAGTAATATTGATAGTATTTCAGATAAGTCTGTATGTGTTATGGACATTGTTTTAGCAAACTTCTTGCTAGCAAGGGAAAAGAGAGATAAATGGAGATTTACTATATAATTTCTTGATGAAAAGAGAGATCTAGAGTGACACGTCTCAATAGCGTCAATATTCAAAGTAATGTCACGACTTGCGAGAACAGTATTGTAAGGTTAAATTCTTGTCTAAGCTCAGTCCATGATATTTAATGATTTGAATGCTTAATTCCCATGGATACTAGGCAAGACTCACATATCTGACTATTTAGATCACTCCGTCCATAATATATTGAGAAACTGACGTCTATGACTACTCGAATCGTTTGATTCGTAGTGAATTGAGGCTAGGCAATAATTTATGTAGGGAAAATGACAAAAATAGTCCATGAACTTTAATCCAATGTGCAATATGTTCCCTGAACTTTTAATTTATTCATTATCGTTTATGAAATTTTGATACATGTTCAATTTAGTCCATGGACTTCATGAAAATGTTTAATGTAGTCATTCTATTAATTCAAGTTCAAAGACCACGTCGAACATTTTCATATAGTTTGTGGACTATATTGAACATATACCAAAAGTTCAAGGACCACATTGAACATTATGCTAAAGTTCAGGGATTACATTAAACAAATTTAAAATTCGGGAGTTACCTTGCAAATTGGGCCAAAGTTCAAGACAATTTATGTCATTATCCCGTTTATGGCTTTCTATCTCATCAAAGTTGGAGGGAATTTTTTAAATTTTGTCAAAAAAAATGGATAGATCAATTTTATGAATGAGATAGGAACACGGCAAATCACAAAATAAAAAAATATTATATTTTTGGTGGACGCTAATGTGGATTCGAATGTTCCTTTATGCGATTAATAATAACTTTTTAGACTAAAGTCCTCCCAACAATTTCTGAGGAGTTACAAGTATCCGTGGGCCAATATAGTGCAAATAAACTCAACAACTAGCAATGAATGATGGCTCTCTCTCTCTCTGTCTCGGTGCTCTGCATTCTGATTGGCGCTTCCGTGCACGCTGACGTCCCCCACAGCAAATGCGCAACCAAATTGGAGTTGAAACGACGACCTTTTCTTCTCGAGCCTCCGAAGAAAAAGCATTGATCTCGTGTCATATTGGGCACTTGATGTTGCGTGCGGTGGCTAACCAAAGTTCCCCATTCATTTGAAGATATCAAATTAGTAACTTGTCTATAAAATTTAATAACATAAGCCTTGTTTAATGACTCGGCGGCCAGTCTACCTTGACACCCCATGTCCCTCCCCTAAGTATTTTTATTCCTGGTGAAGGATAGGAATACGCCAAGAAGAACTTACATAGAGATCCCTCTACCATACCAGAAATTTCCTTCCTCTGTCTTCCCCTAAGCTTTTAAGGACCTACTCAGGTGCAACATTTTCTTCTTGGACCTCCGAAGAAAAAGTATTGATATCGTGTCACACTGGCACTTGATGTTGCATGCAGTGGGCCGGTGGCTAACCAAAGTTCCCCATTCATTTGAAGATATCAAACTACTAACTCATCTATTTAATTTCATATTAGAATTTGCGATGTTTATGTTACGACGAGATATTCCAAGTGGACAGCTACACACAACATCCAATTACCATAAATCAGTTAAAAGGTCCTTCTATAAGGCTTCGATTGTTTCGTGAAAAAATAAATGATTTGGCAAATATTTTTCTAAAAGTGATCACTTATGTCGCTTAAAAGTAGCTTGAGTCATAGCTGATGCATCCAGACTAACTCACAAGTAGCTTGAGTCATAGCTTTGTATTCAGATTCTGCACTGGATCTAGACACAACACATTACTTCTTACTCTTCCAAGATACTAGGTTTCCTCCCACAAAGGTGCAGAAACCCGATGTAGACCTCCTATTTTTAGGAGACCAGGCCCAGTTAGCATTCAAAAATGCTTCCACCCTTCTGTGACTGATCCCTATAGAAGATACCATGACTTGGAGCTTTCTTCAAGTATCTCAAAATTCTAAAAACAACGTCCCAATGAGAGGTACGGGGGAAGACATAAACTGACTCACAAACACTCATAGTAAAGGGACTATCAGGTCGAGTAAACATCAAATAATTTAATTTTTCAACAAGTCTTCAATACCTTTCCAGATCATCTAATAGCTCACAATCCTCTGCCATCAATTTCGAGTCAGCTTCCATTGCTGTATCTAGTGGTTTAGCTCTTAGCATACCTGTCTCTATAAGCAAATTTAAAACATACTTGCATTGTGAGATATGAATACATTTCTTCATCTGTGCCACTTTGATACCCAAAAAAGTATCTCTCCTTTGTTTGAAATTACTGTTGCAAATACAATTTCAACTCATCAATCACTGTAGAATCATCTTCTTATATAAATCTTCATGTAAATCACATGAAGAAAAGCATTTTTATCATCAAGCTAAAAAAGAGGCCAACAAGCAGAAGCAACCAAATAAAGTAAAAGGCAAACAGAGGTCATCTTAGCCACTGAAGAGAAAGTATCACCATAATCGATCCCATAAACCCATTTACATCCAATAGCAATCTTCCATGTGTGCAGAGGAACAAGATCCCAAGTCTGGTTTTGATCTTGTGCCAATAGTTCCTCCTCCATAGCTGTCCTCTAGCTTGGACTAGATAATGCTTCAGCAACAGTTTTGGGAATATGATGTGTATCAATGGTGACTAAACTAGCCCGAAAATAGGCAGATAGACCAGAATTGGAGACAACTGTGCAATAGGGTGCTGGGTAGAACTACAAACTCCTTTACGATGTGCAATAGGGATATCAAGGTCAGCATGTGACAGGCTTGTTGACACT